CACCTATGGATCTGCTCCCCGCTTTGAAACTCAAGGCCGGGGCTTCCTTCATGGAGTCCGTCCATCTCACATTCGGAGTTTCTCTTTCCCTCCTGCTGCCTTCAGATCTCCCACCACTGGGGGGTCTGGTGGGGGAGCGGTTTTAAATAGTGGCACAGCCAGGCAGGGTCGGCCCCTGTTTTGGAAGGACGGCGCAGCCCAGACTCCCACGGCCCCGTCTAGAGAGTCAGGCCCTGGGAGGCCGGCAGTGGGGGAGCCGGGCTGTAGCAAGGTGGCCCCCGGGGGCCCTGCTTTGCCCGCCATGTCCCGTCCTTGGTGCCGAAGAAGGCTTTCTTCTCCCCCTGTTTTCTGTGCAGGGAATCTGGCGCATCCCCGTGGATGAAATCGACCGCCCGGGGAGCTTTGCCTCACACATGAACCGCTCCATCGTCCTCCTGCTGAACGTCCTCTCGCAGCTCAAGGATTACCACACTCTGCTGAAAGTCTCTTCTATGCTGCAGAGGACCCCCGACCAGGGAAAGTGAGGAGAGCCCTTCGCTTCCCCTCGGGGCTGGCTTGCCGGGGGTGTGTGTGGGTGTCCCACCCTGAGGAGGGAAGCAAAGCGGGCCGTGGCGGGTCCCGCGCTTGTGGTGGCAAGCAGTGCCACGGATTTCAGCAGCAGGAGGAGCGGGGGGGGTGTCAGGCCTACTCGTTTTAATCACAGGGCAGAAAAGTTAGGAACGGGTGGGTGTTCTTGGGGCCGTAGGGAGTCCTGACTGAGTAAAAACAAAATAGGGCTCGCTGCAGGGAGGGGGGCTCCATGTGTGTGTGTGTGTGTGTGTGCGCGCGCGTGCGTGCGCACGCCAGGGCCACGTGCGTGTGTGTGTGTGTGCGCGCGCACGCCAGGGCCAGTTTTCCACCACTGGCGCTGCCCCCGCAGGGTCCACACCAGGCTTGAAAGCCCCCAAGAGGAAAGCCTTCCAGCTTGTGGGGCTGTGCCCTTGGCCTTGCCTTGGAGAGCAAAAACGCCCTCCTCCCCTGAGTGCCTCGGATCTTGTCCAGTTTCTCAAACTGAACGTCAGGCCAGGCCTGGTTATTGCTTGGAGGGGAGACCTTCAGGAGCAAGGAGAGAATGTCGCCCCAAACCCTGGCGAGCCCCTCCTGACTCTGCGGTGTGTGTGTGGGGGTGTCCCAGGTTTGGGGGCTCGTTTTTGCAAAGAGTGTTTCCTCTGTGCTCCTCCTGCAGGAAGTATTTGCGAGATGCCGACCGCCAGGTTCTGGCCCAGCGCGCCTTTGTCCTCACCGTGCTGGTGCTGGAGGGCATGCTGAGTGAGCTGACAGAGGTAAGTCTCTCCCCCGCTCTCCTGCCCCCAATCTGCCCGGGTGGGTGGGCAGGCGGGCAGGCAGTGGCACCTTTGCAGTCATCAAAGAGACAAGTTCCCTGTTTGTCTTAAAGGCCTCTGAAGACCAGGATCCCACCCGCAGCAGCCTTTTGGGAACCAGGATGACGACGGATGCCTCTCATCAAGCCAGCGCAGAAGAGGGACAGGACACCCTCCCCAAGAAGACCTTGTTGCCGGAGGCAGGGATGGGCTACGGGGTGGAGACTCTGGCCAAGGAGGGGCCCCAGGGGGCGCTTCCTTCCCCCATGGATACGGCCGAGCAGCGGCCAGAGGCCAAGCCTGGCCCAGAGACCAAGGAGGGTGCCCGGGCAGGCTCCTCAGAGCCCATGGATATGGGCGAGTGCTCTGAGGGGCTTCAGAAAACCGACTCTTCCTCCTTTGGGGGCCCGGAGGTGGCCAGAGGACTGCCCGGCAGACTCCCCAAGGACCGAGTCCCTGAGAGCCGCTCGACGGAGCTTTCTCTGGAGGAGCTGAGCATCAGCT